TACTAGTAACAGAGCAAGAGGAAGTGGGAACTGGCAGGAAACCAGCATGTGTTAATGGGTTGAATTTGATGCCCTGTCCTCTGATCTATCAACTGAACACACAGCACTATGAATGGTGTTCACCAGAACCACATAGGTAAGGTGAGGTCCAACCAATGTGACCTTTTTGTGTTGCTTGTTGTAAATATCATTTTATTCTCAGGGATTTTGGATGAAAACCGGGAGGCTTGTGACTGTCCCATTGACTGCCAAGTAAATTACATCAGTCAAGGCCAGAAAAGTATGAAAGACATCGTCAGAATAGTCCATCTGCCATCAGTGGTTCAACCGTAACGTCCAAAATATCCAAAACATCCAAAATATCTTAAATTGTGTTCCGAAGACGAACGAAGCTTTTACGGGTTTGGAACGACATGAGGGTAAGTGATTAATGACATAATTTTCATTTTGGGGTGGAGTAACCCTTTAATGAGGTTAGGAAAAGAGAAAGGCAAAGAGACGTGAAAATATTAGGTGTTTGTACATCCAGCGATGCTAATAAGCTTAATTGTTGATTAATCCATTCCAACAAGATTTAGGGGTCAAGGGAAAGCACCTGGTTCAGTCAGTGACCGTTTGCGTGTTTTACATGTAATCATTTAGCAGATACTTTTATTAAAAGCATCTTAAAATGATGATGCAAGCACAAGCTGTTTATCATACAGGAACCAACAAAAAGCAGCAGTGCAATAATACTTTTCAAAAATACATCAGAGAAGTGCAGAAGCTAGAGGCGAATTATAATAATCTAAAAGTGGAAAAAGTAGATTGTACGTGCTGAAATTGTGGGGTCATCAGCGACAGGTAGAGTAGAGGTCGTCAGAGTGCATTATTAAGCAAAGTGGTCACGACTAATGAATAGAGGAATGGCTTGTTTTAATTCTTTAAAGCAGAGGTTTTCAAACGGGGCGCAAAGTAGTTCAGAGAAGAATACTGTAAAAATATCATAAAATATGTAATGATAAAAATATATAATAATAAAATAAGTTCAAATTTACAGAGTATTATTCTGCATTCTAAATAATGTCCGTAATATTGAAATAATGAATATATTGAAATATATAATGGAATAAAATGGCTGTTCTATTGACAGCCATATTTTTGTGTCTAAAAAGGCACAAAAATGAAAATTCTGCCATCACCTTTTATTTATTTATTTTAATTCAGCAGAAGGAAGAAAGTCATACAGGTTTGAAACAACATGGTGGACTATCCCTTTATTGTGGTGATCTAAACTAGTGCTTTTGAGTGTATGAATTCCATTTTAATGTGTGTCTGTGTTTTTGTTCCAGGATTCCTGATTCTAAAAATAATCCATCCACATGTGGGTGTGTCCCAGGATGCTCACTGTCCGCACACTGTGTCCATTTTCCTCTGGGACTCATGCCTAGTGCCAGGGGCATCAACCACCCAGACACTACTGTCAGCATCGGGACACAGGGTCAGAGAAAGGGAGCGAAAAGACAGAGAGAGAGAGAGAGTGTGCGCTAAAGAGTGAGACTGAGAGGGCGGGCATGAGGAGGAGAGATGGAAACAGGAACAAACTGGATTCTCCATCCTGGAGGAGACAGACAGACAGAGGTCTGGGAGGGAGGCTTGAGGTTTGTCCTCCTTTAAAAACAGCCAGCAATTCTGCTTGTTTTTTTTGTTTTTTTTTCAAAATCAGCAGGGGGTGTCAGCAGATGCATAATGCAACAGGACGTCACCTCATAGCAGATCGTCAATTAAGTACCACACACACACACACACGTTTACAATGTGTGTAATGGGCCAGTCTTTTTTCTTCACACAATCCATCGTTTCCTCTGCAGACCCCCTGCTCAGAAACTCTTTACATCAGAATGCTGTCGTATCTTTCTTGCTCTCTCTTTCTTACCTAGAATGGGGGAAAGTGAATATTTCATTATCAGAAATGGCCATGTTCTGACCTATTCATAGTTCAGCCACCTAATGAGTAATTCATTTGAGGCTTCTGCAAAAATATGTATGCATAATTAATAGATTATCATCTTTAAGTATGTGTGAGCCTCTCAAGGCCTCTGTAGCTGGTTTGAGATCAAGATTGCCATTTATTTTCATTTTCGTCTTTCTAACTCGAGTTGTTTGTTTAGGACTCCAAAGTCATCTTAATTAGCAGTAGTTGATTCATTGTTGAGTATTATTGCTTGTTTGCTGGATATTATGAGTGAAGCTAAAGTTTAATTATAACTCTGACTCAAGACTAGTTTCTGCCTCCTCTACTCTGAGCTCATTTATCATAATAAAAGCTGAAACATAGGTTTATTTTGACCTGATTGATCAATAGATAATCAATATTCTCTGTATTCCTCTTCTCTAGCTTGCTCCCTACACTAGTTGTCCAATCTAATACGAATATTATTAGATATTTGATTAACTTGGTTTTGTTCCTCTTTTATAAATGACTTTGGATAAAAGCATCTCTATCTAAATGCATAAATGTAAAAAGATTATTTTGATCTAGTTTGATCTTTAATCACACATTAGGATTTAGGTAAAACACAGAATCAGTGTTAATTTGTTATTAAATTGTAAAAAAAAATGTTTATATTCAAATGTGATAAATATTTGTCTTTCCAAAAGTATAATGATAATTTTTTTCACTTTTATTGAAACATACAATGATTTATTGCCGGTGACTAAGCCAGTGCTCTGCGTTTGTTTTTTCTTGTGAGAGAGCAACTTTTTTTTCTACGCCTCAACCGTTACTGTGTGGAAAAGAAACTGTGAATGATTTTTACCTAAAGTTTTATTTTACCCTCCTTTAATGAAAACTGTGCCATCATTAGGTAAAGTACTTTAACTCTCTCACTCTATTTTGCGCCACTGTCAATAGTTTGGAAAGCTTTACATTGCACTTTTAACTATAACCGCGGGGGCTGTGCCATTCTCTGAATTCTCGTGTTTACTGTTAATGTATTTTTTTCCTTAAAGTTGCTTGCTCTGCAGAGCTGTGTTTTCACACCTCAACGGGAAGTGCTGCATTGATGCGACAGTATTAGGGAACCTTTATATCCTTGCGCCACCATCTGGTCATTTGATGCGCCACGGGCAAGAGGGCGTGCGGGGCAAGACAGCTGCAAACTGCTGGATGTTGACGTTTTTTAACAGCTGGTAGGATTCAGATACAAAAAAAAAAACTTCAGATAGCTTACTGCAGCTGCTGATTTGAGCTAATCTGGAAAGTTATCACATATTCAGAGATTTTTGGTTAATTACACATTTTTACGGAGGTTAAGATAAAAAGACAAGGGTCTAATAAAACCTATGAAATAATTTATAACATGAAATACAACATCACATATGTTTTAATGCACTTTCTCTACACACAAAAAGACATTGTTACAGCTGTGAACTTACATCTTAGTACCAAAGTAATCTCTACAGGAAACCATCCCTTCTTGTTCCTCCTTCATAAATCTCATAAAATTCTAGACAAGCACTTTACATGCAGGTTCTTTTCTAGTCATATATCTATCATCTAATAATCTTACAGCAAACTCTCTAAGACAACGCCTGAAGATCTACATTTAAATTCTGATATTTAATAAATCTAAATTAAAATCTGCTTGACTATTGTGACTGTTAATCCTATATTTCTAGAACACAAATATAAAAGCAGTTAAACATTTGAAAAAAAAAAAACAGTGTACTGTGCAAATAATTATGATAAATAATGTGTTTAAGGTTTGCAGTATATTTTGCAGTGCATTGTGCGTGGAGAGGAAACATTTACCCTTGTCTTCATACACACTTATGGAAAGTTCAGTGCGTTAGCTGCTGCCCTAATATGTATGTGCCTCATCATTGACATTTAAACTGTGGAATGTTGTGTTGTGACTTCTTTAGTCAGGAATGTGTATTTATGATGCTCTATGCACATATTACAATGAAAGATAAATCGTTTCATGTAACACGTGACAGGAAACATGTTTGAGAGAGAGTAAAAGAGTGTGTATGACTGAGAGAGCAGGTAGTATCCTTTAGTGCAGTGTTTACAGCTGTTTTTTTTAGCGCAGGCTGCTGGCAGGCATGCAGTCACACAGTGCCCTCCTCTCGGCCTTCAGCACCAAACTCTCCGTCTGAAAACACATGAGATATAACACGGCAAAAGTGAAGCCCTCAGGTCTCTGTCTCTAAAATTTCTAAAAGATGCTTCATTTGACCAGATCGACTAGACATTAACCTTTTTCACAGCTTGATTCCATAATTTCTAAACTTACAGGAATAGACATGAAAGCAGGGGTCTTCAGTAGGGCGTCTGTGACTCCCTAGGGGGACCATAGCAATACTAAAGGAGTCTGAAATTTATTTTTGGCTCTCAATTGAATTCCTGTTATAAAATGGAAAATGTTAAGAGGGTAAATGTCAACTGAATGTTTTATTGTCTATCCCACGTTAAAAAAATATAATTAGGGCTAACAAATCATTTGTCTTAGTCCATCAAGGGGTCCTTGGCCTGACTGCCATGCAAAAGACTGCATTGAATGACTTTATGTCTCAGTTGTCTCCTGTTTTATTATCTTACCCGTGAATCTAAGTTGAAAGCTGTTTTCTTCAGGTCTTGCAAGGCTCTCTGCATGAACTCGAAGGCATGACAATCAACACATGGCCGGCCTATTAAACAAAAATTGTACAGTAGGTTTTACCAGCGTTATTATCATTAGTCAAAAAAAATTTTTTTAAACCATTTTTGTTATTTGAAATAAGGCTAAAAATTAGACTATGATAGTGTATAAATAAAATAACACTGCATTTGACCGTCATCATTGAGGCTGAGCAAGTGCCCAGGAAACAACACGGGCCACATGTTGTGATGACATATGCAATGATACATGCTTGACCACACGTTTATAAAAGCATACAGAGTCTTACTCTCAGCGGGAATGACCGTCCCTGATTCCTCGGCATGAACTGGTTTGATACAGAGAAGCTGGATCAGTACCAGCAGCATCGCCGTCGCTAGAGCTCCGCTTGGCCTCATACTGTCGCGCAGCATCACCGTACACACAATACCTGTGCGAAATCACAACACATATAGTAAGCTTTGGAGGAATGGACAAAATGCTCTAATATTTAATCATTTAGCAGACGCTTTTTACAAAAAATAACAAATGAAAAATACCTTATAAAAGACAATATTTATAAAAGTTTACGCAAATAAGAGACTGTCGAGCATCATTTTGCTTTATTTTAGTTTTGTCTTTATACAGCTATTATATGGTCATTTCCAAATATGGCCACCAAAAAACACAAACCCCACTCCTGTACTGCGTATTATTAAAGCTAATTAAAGCATTTGCATTACCTGTAGTCTGATAAAGACAGTAGTACCGTTAGTCAAACCACCGCCCTCCTATTCAGGACGCAGTTTCGTTGCGTCAGTTGCGCTTTTTGAGATCTATTGTCCTTCGCGGAGCACCGTAGAATGGAGTCCAACATTTTTTTTACACCCAGGCAACGTTTTTCTCTCTGATTGGCTACCGCAGGTCACATGGCTTCCAACCGTACTCGTTTTGAATGTAATAATATAAGTTTTGATTTGTATTACTACTTGAGAACAGCGCAGCTTTTTAGCACATTTTAGTCGATGTTTCAATAACATTTTTGATAGATAGTGTAATGTTATTATCTATCCAAGGAAAAGGGATGTAATGAGTGGGATGTTTAGTCCACTAGGTGGCAGTAATGGATTGTATAAAGTCGAAGTGCATTTGCTAAGGAGGGGTGTAGACTAGTAATTTGTATATAATGGATGTTCCACGTGGAATAAAGATGCTAGCACCAGCGATACCTCTTTATATTTGTTTCTTGGCTGTTTATTGAATAATACAGACAGACAGACAGATAGATAGATAGATAGATAGATAGTTCTATTTTAGATCTATATATTCTACTTGCCTAACAGTATATTTTTGTCCTAATTTCACATTCATGAATGCAAGGTTGCAAAAAAAGAGAGAAAGATCAGAATAAGATTAGCTAAATTATGAGATCTATTGTCCTTCGCGGAGCACCGTAGAATGGAGTCCAACATTTTTTTTACACCCAGGCAACGTTTTTCTCTCTGATTGGCTACCGCAGGTCACATGGCTTCCAACCGTACTCGTTTTGAATGTAATAATATAAGTTTTGATTTGTATTACTACTTGAGAACAGCGCAGCTTTTTAGCACATTTTAGTCGATGTTTCAATAACATTTTTGATAGATAGTGTAATGTTATTATCTATCCAAGGAAAAGGGATGTAATGAGTGGGATGTTTAGTCCACTAGGTGGCAGTAATGGATTGTATAAAGTCGAAGTGCATTTGCTAAGGAGGGGTGTAGACTAGTAATTTGTATATAATGGATGTTCCACGTGGAATAAAGATGCTAGCACCAGCGATACCTCTTTATATTTGTTTCTTGGCTGTTTATTGAATAATACAGACAGACAGATAGATAGATAGATAGATAGTTCTATTTTAGAACTATATATTCTACTTGCCTAACAGTATATTTTTGTCCTAATTTCACATTCATGAATGCAAGGTTGCAAAAAAAGAGAGAAAGATCAGAATAAGATTCATCAGCTAAATTAAAGAAACATCAATTTTTTAATTAAAATTAGCATTAACTCAAATAATATTTTATTATTATTAATCTATAACTGTAGACAAAAACGTGTTGCAAACAAAACGCATGCCAAGGAATAATAGCCAAGTGTTCATACATTGCCAAACATAACACAGCGCCAAAACCAAATACATTAAAAAAGAAAAGAAAAACAAAGAGATAAATAGAAAACAAAACTATTACACAATTTAAAACTCCGATTGCATACGGACTATATGTTTTTTCTAAAAGTTTCTCTGGTTGTGGTCACACGGGTCCTAGCGCGCATTTGTGTATGTGTGCGTGTGTGCGTGTGTGTCTGTTTTCTTAGGTAGCCTGTTAAAATGCCCGATCTCATTATTCGTCTTTTTCCAAGATGGCGTCGATGAGGGAGAGCGACACCGGCCTGTGGCTCCACAACAAACTGGGATCGACAGACGAGCTGTGGACACCTTCGAGCATCGCTTCTCTGCTCACCGTGTCGGTCATCGACAACATACGGCTGTGTTTCTCCAGCCTGTCGCCTCCGGTGAAGCTGAAACTCTTGCTGGGGATGCTGCACCTCCCGCGCAGGACCGTGGATGAGGTGCGACTGCAGGACTCACTCCTTCTGCTACTGCACACACAAACTGTCTTAACTTCCGAGCGTGGCATGCGTTATTGGGGTGGCATGTTATTTATTAGTAGTAATTGTGTCATGTTGCTGACACGTATGTGTTGCATGTGTAATAACATGGCTTCCACCGCGAGACCCCTGCAGCTGCTGTGTGGATCATGTCAGTCTCCAGCAAAGCTCAGCTCAGGCTGCTGTCTGTCTGTCTTCAGCCTCTGGGCGTCAGCTAACTTGCTAGCCTCCTTTATGTAAACTTTCAGAGTGTTATTGCCGTGTTATTTTTATGAAGTTTATTTCTGTGTTTGGACGCCCCCCTTATAAAATGGTGACTATAGTTTACGCCAAAATTAATTACACAGTTAGTCCAGTCATTGTTAGTACTGTAAAACTGTGGTAACTGTATTAACTACTACTGCCATTAAAAAAAAAAATACAATAGTAACGTTTTTCGCGGAAGCTATGGTTTTGCACTGAGAAAGGCTCTACTCAATGTTCCTTTTAAATTTTAATTGCTTTATTGGCTATTTTATGATTGTTTTACACACAGTTATGGCCTAAGCATTAAAAGTAATGACAAGAAAAGCAATATACAACATTACCATAACAATAAAGTAGTATTCAAACAAGGTGCTAAGTAATTAATGAGATGTCCAAAATCTAAATATGTATAAATAAGATCAAATAAACATGTATCAAAACAAATAAAAAATACTGTAATATATGTATGTGATAGTCAGTGTTTACGTTGATTGATTGATTGTTTGATTGATTTGATCACTTTCTGAAGAAACAAATCCATCTTGCACAAAAACGCGTTCATGTACGTTGTGTGCAAAAAACTTAAAGAATCAGTCTGTATTGTTTTTGGGTTTTTTTTCAAACAAAATAGTGTTTGTAAAGCTAAACTTAAATACTGTCTGTTATGTTTTCAGTGAGTTTTATTGGCTAACACATTTATTGGTTTTTATGGGCAAATGCATGGAGTGATAAAGCAAACTTCCTTTTTAGTGCCATATAACATATGGAAAAACATTTGCACACTTACTAAATTGTATAGAATATTGGATTTATGGTTTGAAAAAAATTAAGGTTTCCTTTAAGTGTGGTACAGTGTTGTACTCCATTGTTTCACTAAATTAGTCTGGAATCCTGTCATGATTCTTTCTGTATGTTTTACCTCAGAGCCCTAAGAAGGAAGGAAATATAAAATAGCAATAATGTAAACAATGGTGGAATGATCTATTTACAATATCAGGCAAACTCCAGTGCAATGGTAGCGGATTCATTTACAGACTGACTAGGTTAAAAACGAATTTTCTCTCTGTGTGTTCTCTCTCTCTTCCCTTATATTCCAGATGAAGGAGGCTCTGTCAGAGATCATTCAGTTGGCCACTGTGGACTCTGAGCCGTGGGTGTTAATGGTGGCCGACATCCTGAAATCATTTCCAGAGACCGGCTCACTAAACTTGGACCTGGAGGAGCAGAACCCTAATGTACAGGACATACTTGGAGAGCTGCGCGAGAAAGGTCTGTCTGAAATCTGATAGTGGATGATGGTGTTAGAAGAGGGTCAAAGGCTGTTGTAAATAATTTCTTATGGTTGCTACTCTTCACATAAAAAAACAGAATCGCATAAATGATTCGTTCTTGTCTAGGTCCAGATATATCTGCATCCTTTACTATTTTGACTACATATTTAGGGATGTATATTTTGGTCAGTTTGACAGCTCATTGTTGGTCTTTGTATATGTGTGTCAGACAGACATCTTTGATGGGTGCACTGTGTGTCATGTAAAAAATTAAGTTAGCAGAGTTTTGAACACTATATTTCTGCCCTGGACTAAAAATCAACATGTAGTTTATTCATTAACTGATTGCAAACGGCTGTCCAAAATTCTTATGTAACCAATAGCAATTTTGAAACTGCAATATTTAAATTTTTGATGTACTTGAAGTTTGAAGTTCAACATATTTAATGTTTAATAAATATATATGTGACCCTGGACCACAAAACCAGTCATAAGGGTCAATTTTTTGAAATTGAGAGTTATACATCATCTGAAAACTGAATAAATAAGCTTTCCATTGATGTATTGTTTGTTGGGATAGGACAACAGTTTTGTTAGGATAGGACAATATTTGGCCGAGATACAACTATTTGAAAATCTGGAATCTGAGGGTGCAAAAAAAGCAAAATATTGAGAAAATCGCCTTTAAAGTTGTCCAAATGAAGTTTTTAGCCATGCATATTACTAATCAAAAATTAAGTTTTAATATATTTACAGTAGGAAATTTACAAAATATCTTCATGGAACATGATCTTTACTTAATATCCTAATGATTTTTGGCATAAAAGAAAAATCTATAATTTTCATGATCGATCATTGCCCATTATTATTACTCTACATTTATATAACAGTGACCAAGTGACATTTCTACGGTTATTGTGGTTGTCTGGGATTGTTTGTTTGGGTTCTTGTTGGCTTTCGAGAGCTAACTGAACTTATGTGTATTTTTGCTAAACTGTCACTTGCAAGTGCATATACACTTTGGTAAGAAAGAGCTGCTGAGACTTACTGTTAATGTTTGCACCTCTGTTCAGTAAATGAATGTGAAGCGTCGTCCATGTTGCCTCTGGAGTGTCAGTATCTGAACAAGAGTGCTTTGACCACGCTTGTGGGGCCGCTCACTCCACCCATCAAGCACTTCCAGCTCAAGAGGAAACCCAAGAGTGCTACGCTTAGAGCTGAGCTGCTTCAGAAATGTAAGTGTGTTTATGCATTCTTTGTGCCAGAGCAACTGTGTTTTCATTTTTCAGTATGGAGTCATTCGCATAATTTAAAATAGGAGTTTACCCTAATGTTTGTGTGATGACATGTTTATTGTCACTGTGTATTATTCATCATATTGTTTTAAAGCCACAGAGACTGCCCAGCAACTGAAGAAAACAGCAGGAGTGCCGTTCCACTCCAAAGGAAGAGGTCTAGTGAAGAAGATTGACACCACAAGTAAGATTTATATGTATACACAGTGGCCCCAGAAAGTATTTGGATGGTAAAGATGTATGAATGTTATTGCATTAGCTAACAATAGTATCAAACCTTAAGTCTTAGGTTTGAAATGAAACAACAATAGATATAGTGATAAAAGTGAAACCGTATCTTTTTCCTTGTTGAATGTTAGTGCAACGTGACTATAGTTGAAGTAATGAACTTGAGGAGAACTGACTTCATGCATCCACTAAAATACCTGGGAACTAGTTGGCTAAAAGTAATATTTTTTTAAATGAGGGTAAAGTGTTTTACACTAAAGTTTGGGGTCAAAGAGATGTTTTTTTTTTTTTTGAAGGAAAAACGTTTATTTTGCAAGAACACATTCAATAAATCAAACGTAACAGTAAAGACATTTTATAATGTTACAAAAGATTTCAAATAAATCCTGTTGTATTGAACTTTCTATTTATCAAAGAGTTTATTTATTTTTTGTATGTTGACTTTAAGACAAAATTGTTAAATTATTGTAAATATTATATTGAAAGGATATTGAGTGAATTGACTGAGTGATGCAATTTAAATGCTTTTTGCCATGAATCATAAATTAATTAATTAATTAATCTATTCATCAAAGAATCTTGAAAAAAATTGTATCACTGTTTCCACAAAAATGTTGAAAGCAGCACAACTGTTTTCAACATTGATAATAAGAAATGTTTCTTCAGCATATTAGAATGTCTCATTTTAACTCTTTAAAAATTAATTCAAAGGTTATGAGTGCTGACATACATTATTCTTGAGAAAAGGGTTTTTGCATTTTATAGTAGAGATGGTAATCAAAGCTCAGGATATGTCAGCCGTTAAGGCAAAAAATTTTTTTTTTTTTTGAAGGAAAAACGTTTATTTTGCAAGAACACATTCAATAAATCAAACGTAACAGTAAAGACATTTTATAATGTTACAAAAGATTTCAAATAAATCCTGTTGTATTGAACTTTCTATTTATCAAAGAGTTTATTTATTTTTTGTATGTTGACTTTAAGACAAAATTGTTAAATTATTGTAAATATTATATTGAAAGGATATTGAGTGAATTGACTGAGTGATGCAATTTAAATGCTTTTTGCCATGAATCATAAATAAATAAATTAATTAATCTATTCATCAAAGAATCTTGAAAAAAATTGTATCACTGTTTCCACAAAAATGTTGAAAGCAGCACAACTGTTTTCAACATTGATAATAAGAAATGTTTCTTCAGCATATTAGAATGATTTCTGAAGGATCATGTGACACTGAAGACTGGAATAATGGCTACGAAAATTTAGCTTTGCATCACAGGAACAAATTACATTTTAAAATATATTAAAATGGAAACAACTATTTTAACAGCTATTTTAAGTTGTACTAAAAATTCACAATATTACTGTGTTTTTGATCAAATAAATGCAGCCTTGGAGTGCATTAGAGCATAAAATACTAAATCTTACCGAACCCAAACCTTTGAAAGGTAGTGTACATTCATATGTTCTCCTAACAACACACAAGATTGATAATAATGATTGTCTGTCTTCTCTCAGCGCCTCTGAAGGGCATTCCCAAAGCACCATTCCGCAGTCCTACCACCCCAAGCATGTTCAGCCCTCCCAGTAACAGAACCCCTATCGCCCCTGCCCGCACACCCCTGCGCAAGGAAAGGGGAGTCAAGGTAACTGTCCGGCAATGACCAGTT